TTTTAAACTACAACCCAGCAGTTTCTGTGTGTGATAAATAGCAAATCAAAAGCTAACAAGGGCTCCTAAAAATTCCACTCATCTGTTTAAGGGACGTAAAAATCATAAGTCAACATGAAATGAAGCTAATAGCGAAAATTCAACCTGGAAGACTCCATCCCCTCCGTTCGTCCATCGGCGTCATGCTCATCTCAGTCCTCAGCGCTGGACCTCACCTGGCGTGTCCAATCATCAATCAAGCTCAGCATAAAAGGATCCACACCCAAGTCGTCGGCCGCTTCCCAGCTGCGTTCAATCCGTTCATCTGCTCGCCACAGCTTCTCAGCCAGCACGTCTCATCTTCTCCACAGCTTCGTGATTCTCCGTCCTTCTACCTCTCATCCTGCGTTGGCCTTTTCTTTTCCCCTCAGACGCTCCTCTGTTGCAAGAGATGTTTCTCCCGACCTCAGCCTCGATTATTTCAAGCAGGCTCACCCGCCTATCTCTCACCTGTCTGGGGTTTCCCGTACTCCTCGACCCACCTTCGAAAAACATCATAATAAGCCCTCCTGTCACCTCGTTACCTTTGACCTTTTGCCATGACGCACGACGCAATTGCCTCCCGCACAGTCAGTGAGTCCAGCTAGCAAACTGCGGAGCTCTACGTGGAGGAGACAGCCTGTTAAAATATGCCACGTAAAGAAAGACGACAGAAACAAGAGGATCCGATGGAAGCAGCAAAGGCCGTCTTCCTTCGCCCGCCAAGCCACGTCAACAGCTTCTCTCTTCCGCATGCCGCCATGGTCAGCACACAAGACCGGATTTCCCTCTCTACGCCCGTCTCGGGCTGTCGGGGTAAGACGTAGCATTCTCATGTCTCATTCGCATTATTACGAACCGCATTTCAATTAGCCTATTCTCTCCCGAACTCGTAGGCCACTCAGGCTGCGCCCAATATGCTCGAGGGCTTTTAACTGCATGATGAAGAATCGATTTGTCGTGTTTGGGGAGGCGCTTTTAAACGCCATACGAGCTCTAAGATTCTCTCACCGGGTTTTACTCCCGTGCGACAGCTAAAGAGACCTGCTGCTGCTGTCTCAGCTCCGTGTGTGTTCGAATTATGGCAGCAACCAGCAATTCGCAGAGCTTCGCACAGTTTCCTCAATTAACCGACTGAGTCGAGCAAGCGTTGGAGGCAGGCAATGTTAAATAATAATGAAAGTTTATACAATGTAGCACCTTCAGCTCGTCGACTAGTGGCCTGTAGCCCGCTGATATGTTCTAAAGAGTGTAGGACCCTCGTTATTGAACGCTTTGGAAATGTCCTCATATGAGCAGTTTTACTGCAGTGTACCTTCTGCCCCCATAAGCCATGCCCTCATGTTAAACTCGTCTGGAGTCGGGGCAGCCTAGAGGGATTACTCATTCATATAACAGCAGTCGTATGCGCACTCAGCTCTGAGAGCCATGCAGCCCAATGTCTCGGGTGTCTCTGTTACCACATTTTTATTTCAGCCCCTTATCAGCCAACTTGTCAACCGAAGACTATGCGGTCTTTGTCTGTGTGATAATACAAGTCATATTGCCAATTGTCTCTGCGCACAAGTACGTATTAATCATCCAGTAATTAGGAGTTTTGCATCAGTTGCGAGGCGTCACACGCTGTTCAGTTGCTGGCCACGGATCGTAAAGTTGACTTAAAAATCCCTCCATGACAAATCTCTGTACAATCGTTCCAGACCTTATCAATTAAACAAGCCATGAATTCTCGCTTGCATCATCCATTTCAGCAGCTCAAGTCCTCAGCATTTTCTAACTTGTTTCACTGTCATAACCCGTTTCCCGAGAGTAATGTCAGCAAGTGATCCCAAACATCGCTCGCTATAAGTTGTTGTGTTTTAACTATAAGCCAAACCTCCACCATCTGTCTCATGTCTTCTATCGCCACCATTTAATTTAGCATACCTGCTTGTTGCATCTGGTCATTTTAACACCATTGCCGATAAGCTATCTCCCTGCCTGTGCTGTGTCCAGTCCTGCTATTAGACAAGTCACCCATTTCAAGCTTAATCTCATCCTGCCTGTATATTTCCTCAGTTTTTCATCCCCATTCTGAGTCTCGGCTTTTTCTTCATGCTCATCGTAGTTCCAAGCCCTGCATGCACGCAACCTTGAGGGGAAAAAAAAAAGTCTGTTTTGACTACGTTCACCAGTCTCGAGGTACTCTCTTGGCCTTACGCTAACATCCAGTGCCAGACGAGCACTGCGCAATTCTCTGGTGGTGGTTGGTCAACCTCATGCAAGTGAATGTTATCCTGTCAATATTTCGCATATCTTTCCCCTTTTGTCCTTTACACCCTTAATTTAAGGTTTCTTTCCAGTCTGTAACACCCAGCTGGCCTTCACCCTCCTGACTAGCTCTGTGCCTTCTCAGTCACTCCCTCAAGCTGACCCGTACCCCCAGGCTGGCTCCGCGCCGCCTCAGCTGGCCCATGTCCCAGCTGTTCCCTCTGTCTGTCCAGCGAGGCGCCTCTCCAGCCCGCACCTGTCGTTCAGCCTTTCTCCAGGCTATTCTGCTGTCCCGTACCCCCCAGGCCGGCTCCGCGCCGCCTCAGCTGGCCCATGTCCCAGCTGTTCCCTCTGTCTGTCCAGCGAGGCGCCTCTCCAGCCCGCACCTATTGTTCAGCCTTTCTTCAGGCTATTCTGCATCCCCACAAGCTGACCCGTACCCTCCAGCCCGGCTCCGTGCCGCCCCGTATCCCCACGGCTGGCCCTCATTCACCTGCCCGGCTCCGCGCCATCCCAGTAGCCCCCAAGCTGATCATGCTCGCCTGCCTGGCCCCGCCATCATATTAACCACCAAGCTGTCCTGCTTCCTCCTGCCTGGTCTCACTCTCGCAG